CAGGAACTCCTGCCATGGGTGGGTCCACAGTAGCACCCCACTTACTCCACATGGGGCATTCCTGCATGTGGGTACCGCAAAGTTTTTCTAACCACATTTTCTTCTGGTTGGGCGGACCCACTTATGGGTGCAGCAGTGCCCCACTATCTCCGTAATTTCTCTGTAATGGGCAGTCCTGTGTGTAGGTACCAATAGCATTGTGTCAGCTCCACACTCTTTCTAGGTGGGAGAGCCCCACATGACCACACAGTAGCACCCCACTATCTCTGCACTTTCTTTGGACAGGAAAGCCCTGAAAGTGGGTACTGCAGTGTTCTGTAGGCTCCATACTTTGTCCAGGAAGAGGAACTCCTTGTGTGTGCGGCCCAGTGGGAGTGCAAAGCAGCTGCACCTGCTGGATAAATCTCCAGGTGGAGAGTCCCCTTGTATGTACACTTTGGCACTCTCCTGTTTCTGCCAGGTCTAGCTCAAGTAGGGGTGGCTGGGGACATGCTATAGCACCCTACAGGTCCACCAGAGAACCTGGATGGAGCTCCCACCTGTTGTCCAGGTTCAGGAAAAACATAAACAATGGCTCTCACCCACTCCTCCAGTGCTGGATTGTTCTCTCTGCTCCCGGAGAGCTCTTGTGGTTCCCCAACCTTCTCTAGGCGGTCACTCTCTCTTGTTTGTTCTACACAGGGTGTTCAATGGGCTCACAGTTGTCTCTTAGGAGGATTTGCTCTGAATACAGGTGTATATTTGATGTATTATTGCAAGAGGGTGACTTCAGCATCTACCTATGCTACCATCTTGGACCGACTCTAATAATCTCATTTTTACATTTACTTAGTCTTCTATGTACCTGTCAATAATTTATCTCCAAACTTCTTAACAGAATGATAAAATTCCTCTCAATGTGGTCAAATATACCAGATAATTTATCAATCCATTTCTTTTTTGAAGACAATCCTCCTGGAATCGTCTGTCCTGGTTTGCTTTCTCTAGACCTATTGCCCAGCCATCAACCTGTGACCATCATCCCGGGAATCTGCTTCATGTCTCATGTCTATATTGAAACAGATTTTGTGTCTTCTTCCTTCTTGGGATACTCCTTTGTGTAGGTAGAATACAATCCTAGTAGCTTTCTAAGAAAGTGTACATGAAAGGGAAACAATTGCATGCTTACAAATGGCTTTTTGCTGTTCCTCTTACACTTGTTAGCTTGACTGGATTTAGAATTCTATAATGGAATTTTTAAAAAATTTTGAAGGCTTTGCTCCATTGTCTTCTATTTCCAATGTTACTGTTAAGAAGTCCATTGTAATTCATGTTGGTTTTTATTTGACCTGTATTTTTTTTTCCTCTGGACACTTTCAGGATCTTTTCGTTGTCCCAAAGTGTTATTTCATTTCGGTGATGAGCCTTGGTATGGGTCTTTTCTCATTTATTGTGCTTGGTGCTTGGTGTGTCCTTTCAATCTAGAAATTTGTGTTCTCCTTTAATAGGAGGTTTCCTAGCATTGTTTCTTTGCTAGTCTTCTATTCTTTTTTTTTTCTCCTTTCTTTCTTTCTTTCATGGATGTAGTGCTCATCTCTAAGGATATAAATTAAATTTTGTTGAGGTTTTCTTCTTCCTACCTTACCTCTGTTTCCTCCAAATTTCTTACTTTAGTGTTTTTGTTTTGGTCTTTCAGGTAAGAAACATGCCTCAAATTTCTAGTGATCTTTAGCTTTCCGTTTATATTTAACAGTGAGGTACTAAAAAACAATAGGAAGTTCTGTATGCGTGGGTTTCTCTTGGGCTAATCAGTTTCTAATAAAGAAATCTCTCATTCATTCTCCTACCTGGAGTTATGTGGGCAGAGTGGTGGTATGCCCTATTTTTGGTAACCCAGAGAAAATAAGGGAATTGGAGTCTCTCCAGTCATATACAGACTTATATTTAATTGTCTATCAGCAGTATGATACTTTATCGTTGCCTTCCACCGTCTGCTGTCTGTGAGTTGAGCCTGTCAGGTTTGGAGTGTCCAGAGGAGACACCTCTGCTCCTCTCTCTAGTTCTATGGTATAAATTGGCTTTTTTCTTGCCATTTGTCCTACAGGAGTCATATTTTAGCTTTTCAACTCTGCTCACTCAGTCATTACTTACCCAACTGTTTTCCTTTTCCAAAATGTGTTTATATCTTTTAACTGCTCTCTTCATCCTTGCTGACTTATACCCTTCTTTTAGGTCACTTTAATGGGATTTTAGGAGGGAGCAAGTTAAATATGTAGCTCAATCCTCCTTGTTAACAGAACTTAAAATGAAGCTTTTTTTAGGTTGAATGCATTTTAGCTTTTGCAGGGTAAACAAAGGATTAATAGTTTGAAAAAGTATTCCTCTCTTCTTGTACTCTTGCCTAGAAACATGGGGATATGTCCCCCCAGTGTGCTAACTATATGAGGAGTTGCTACTAAGGAGCTATAGCTATAGCTGTAGTAAGATATCTTGTCCTTTTTCCCCTTGAAATCAAACGTACTTGAGCTCCAAAACCTAACAGTTAGGGGAACATGAATGCTGTATACCTGAATTAATATAAAATAATAATGAATGTAAACTGTAATTGAAAAGTAAAATTTAAGTTAAAAAGGAATCTTAAAGAGGAAATAAATTCTTAATGTAAACAGTAATTTTTAATCACATGTAAATCACTGTCTCTCTTTTTCTAAGAAATAAGGTAATTTTTTGTTCTAAACAGTACTTTTTCTCTCACTGTGAAGCATTGCCATAGAAAAATTTGAGGAGGTATAGGTTCTGACTAATGAAGATTACAATGAGTTATAGTAGCCCAGGACTCAAATATTTGAATAATTCCTTTTGTGGAGTTGGTGAGACAATTATTGACTGAATATGGTATATATAATGAAGACATACTATTTTTTACCCATCTGATTGGTGCAAATTTGGAAGTGTAGTAATATCAAATGTTGACAAGGGTGCAGGAAAACAGGTACTCTCATACATAGCTAGCAAGAGTGTAAATTGGAATAGCCACTTTGGAGGACAATTTGTCAGTATCTATTGAAATTGAAAATGTGTACCCTCCGTGATCCTGTAATTCCACTCATCTCTAGCCTAGAAAAACCTTGCACAAGTGCACAGAAAGCATGTACAAGAATATTTCATTATAGCAAAAAAACAGAATGAGATAGATCTATATATGCACTGATATAAATAAATCTCCAATACCAGGTTTTTAAAAAGGCAAGTGACAGAATAATATATACACAAAGTGTAACTCTATTTATCTATAATACACTTCAATATGTACACACACATACATATATGCACATTTGTGTGTATACATATTATATTTTATATCTGTTTACACATATTCTAGTATGCTAGACATTTTCTACAATATATTTATTAAATACATATATAGTCTATGCACTTTCATATATGTGTAAATGTCTAGAATATATAAACATCTAGAAAAATATCTGGAAGGTCTGGATTAAGCTAATAACAGTGGTTACTTCTGGAGAGGGGACTGAAATTTTGGCAGGGGTGAGGCAGTCAGGGGAACTTGCCCTTTATATGTATTATCTGGACTTTTTTTTATAAGAATGTTTTCATGTGTTAGTTCTGTAAGTATACACAGACATACACATCCATTGTTGCCAGTTTAAATATGCAGAGTAACTATAAAGCAATGAGATGGATTTTTATTGGTTATACTGAAGTGGCTCAGTATATTTCATGGAAAACAGTTCTTGCCTATTTAGAAAGCTTGTCTGATAAAGCCCCACCTAACCTGCCTCTGCTCTTTGTGTGATTTCACTGCTGGTCTAATGCCTACATCTTCTTAGCTGTCAACCACTTGGTCACCCATTTTCCATAAATCATTCTTGGTTATGATAACAGGAAGGAATCTGTTCATTCAGGTTTCCCAATCTTGAAAACTACCAAACTTCAGTTTCTAGAATTTGTTTCCTAAATTCATGCAGAACTACAGTTGCTATTGAATACATATGTTTGAAAGTTCTGAACATAAGGATGTTTGTGCGCTCTTTACAATTTACAAAATGTCTTTACTTTTTTGTCTTATTTGATCTTCACAACAACTCTGTGAGGTAAGTGGTGTTGTTAACTATTTACATAGATAGGGAAACTCTTGGTGATCCCCACAACCACCTGCAGGTTCAACAATTCACCAAGGAGGATTTAGGGGACTCAGCATATGTCATACTCACAGCTAAGATTTATTAGAGTAAAAGGACATAAAGCAAAATCAGCAAAGGGAAAAGGCACATGGGGCAAAGTCTGAAGGAAACCAGGTGCGAGCTTCCAAGAGTCTTCTCCCAGTGGAATCACACAGCATGTACCTACTTTTTCCAGCAATGGGTTGCGACAACATATCTGAAATGTTGTCTATCAGTGAGGTTCCTCTAAGCCTAGGAATCCAGGGATTTTACCAGGGGTCGTTCATGTAGGTATTCTCTGCCTGGCATATACCAAAATTCTAGACTCCCAAAAGGAAAGCATGTACTCGGGATAAATCATATTGTTTGCACAGTTTAAGCATAATGAGTCACTCTTGTCAGTTAGAGAATGGTGGGAACCCTACCAAATTCCCAGTTTCCAGACATGAGCTATGCGCCAACCTTACAAGCAGGCATTTTTTTTATTGAGAGTATTATAGATGTCCCCCCTTTCCTTTTTTAAAGATAGTAATCTCATGCCTGCTATATTAACTCTGTTCTGCACAGAAACTAAGGCTAAAAGAAATGAAGTGACCCTTCCCTAAGATATTTAGATAGTAAGTGCTGGAATCAAGGCTCAAGCCCAGCCCTTTGGTCCAAGTCCATACTTTTCCCACTACATAACATTAAATCCATCAAATCAAGTACAAATGTTTTTAGTATGCGATTAAAGTGGTGAAATTAAGTGCATAGTTCCTTAAATGTGGAATGTTGAAGTGATTTTCTTCCTGTGCCTTTAATGCCTTCTTTCTCTCTGACCTATAACTTTTGTAGGATAACATTAAAAATCTAGAATTGGAAGTCATCAATCTGCAAAAGGAAAAGGAAGAATTGCTTCTTGAACTTCAGGCAACAAAGAAGGATGTTAACCAAGCCAAGTAAGAAGAAAGTCAATAAATATTACATCAAGTTCCTATTATGTATGAAGAGCTGTAGAGGAAACAGAGAAGTAAAAGAGCCATTTCCTGCAACCACAAAATTTAAACTTAGTTGTGGAGGGGGAGACCTAAAGAAAAGTTAATTAATTGAGATTTTAAATAACATCTCATGATAACAGTAAAAGAACTCCATGACACAGCATATGATTAGTAGCCAGATAAATTTCTTAGGCAGTAATTGCTTTAAGAGGCAGGAGATATTAGTTTGGGCTGGCATGATCAAGGAAAGCTTTACAAGAAGTTAGCATTTGAGCTGGATTTTGAAAGATTATCAGACCTACCAGTCGGCAACAGTTTATCCCTGCTCTGGTGGTAAATTAGCTTGTGAATAGAACTAACATCTGGGCTAGTAGGCGAAAAATCAATCTAGCCATTTCTTAGTTAAGAATAAAGCCAAGTCAGATAAACAGAATATCCTACTCTCCCTCAAACCTCCGCCTTATTGGCTATTCTACCTTCATTTTACTCAGTGACTGTTGTATCTTTCTATTGAGTCTAAAGGTCATGTTCTTAAAAGTTATGCTGAATGTTAACTTTCTATCTCATACTTCTGTAATAATCAGAATTATTTCCTAAAGCTAAAGTGAAGTGAAATGGCTTCAAAGAACCATCCTTTTAACACATAGTGGTATGGGTG